AAAATACATTAAATATAATAATTTTCCCACTTAACGTTATCCTTGGTAGCCTGGTGCAGATGGTCGAGGTTCGACTCTTGTTTTGTTTTTGTTTTTGTTTTTTTAAGTCATAGTTTCTCCATTTGGCTTTTTTACCTTTATTCTTACTGCTGGCCCATTACAGCTTCGCGAGGTTTTTGCGATAAATGCATTTCTAGTAATTTTTATATAACATTAGGTGGCTCTTGGTTATTCTTCCACTGTGCATGCACTGTATATGGAGATATTAAGCACTTGGAAAATTAAGAGAACAATAAAAAGAAAAAAAAGAAAAATGGGAAGAAGATTACCCATCTCCCGAAATTCCACACGAGAGCCGCGCAAATTTGCAGGGTTTCCGCGCGAGTTTGTGACGTTGAGAGTGGCGCAGTTTGTTCTAAAATTAGCACATTTGGCGATTTCGATGGAACCGCGTGGACCCTGCACTTGCAGTCTCCTACCCCGATTATGACTGCTGATAATGCCCTCTTCATTAGTCGTCCGTCATTACGAAATTTTCTGCCAACCTCATTACCAGTGCTTTATCCGCACGCAGTATCCGGGAGGAGCGAGTCTCACGCAATTTCTGAGGGGAAAAGCCCGGAAACGAGGTTGATTTTCTTTCTACGTTTTAATGAAATTACCAGCCTACCAGATCCCCCACAGTGGGACTGGGCGGTTCCTTTAAAACACCCACGCAGTGTGCAAATGCCCACCCCGGGACAATACCAAAATTTCATTTTCCTCCAGGTAAGCTGCAAATGCCATATTTATGGGAATCTGTGAAAATCTGAATCTAGCCACTGGTTATAATGCAAAAAAGATCACATCGATCTGAATAATATCTATGACAGATTTATAAACTAGAATTTTAATAATGCCTTTCTTATTTTCAAAGGTATTTAAAATAGTCAATGATATAAAAACAACGGAGGAGCTAAACAGAGTAATTTCGTATCACGATGGAACCGTTCCGTCCATGTATTAATCGTCGCATGATCACACAAAACTGCTAGAAAGTTAACAGAGATTCAAACCCTGTCAACTGAATTAAGGGAGGTTTGTGAAGCGGTATATTATAGCTGCCCCCACGAGAGCCGAATGTGTGAACCACTAGGGGGTCCAGGGACATGCTGCCTTCGAAACTGAATTTTAAGATATGTGCCTCTAAGATGATATTTCCTGCATTTTGAGATCACAGTCAATGAAAAATAGTGGAGTTTTTAACAGGCACGGGAAAGCTAAGGCCTATTGGTTCCTATCACATCAGTGCATTATCGACATTATCGAGCCCAAAGTTATCGCAGGCTCATGCTTTGATATCAAAAGCTAAAAATGGCTGAGAAACCACAGAAAAACGGCAAAGTATCGTGCTAAAAATGATCGGTTAAACAAAGAAAACATTACCTTTCTTTTCATAAAAAGGGAGAATATTAAGCGAAAACGGGAGGCCGGAAATATTCGCCGAAAACGGGAGGTTTCCGGCCAAAACGGGAGGGTTGGAATCTCTGTTTATATTGGCTCTGACAGTTCAAATATCTCGCAGAGTTTTTCTCGGCCTTTACGCCGTGAACCGGCGATTAATATGGCGGGAAGCAATTTCTTAGACTGATGCAAAAAAAATACTGTGGGGCAGGGTGGTGATGGAGCGAAAAGCACATTTAAAGCATATGTGTAAAAAAACATTCCTTAAAGAAATATCTTCAATATTTTTAAATGAAATATTGAAAAAGGAACGATATTAACAAGAACTGACAAATGCCCCACCCCCAGGCCGACAAGATGACAAATGCCCGGGGGATGGGCACGCTTGGAATTCAGTGCTGAAGTATGTCGTCTTGTCTACTTATAAGGGGCCTTAAACAATGACGACGGCGACGGCAGTGAAAACATCACTAAAAAAAGGAATTTGCGCCCCTTCAAACTTCAGAGAACTTAACTGCGTCTATTTGGAATCGCTCGATTCGTCAAATGTAAGCGACTTTTACTGGAGTTGAATTCTCGAGGGCTTTATCCATGTTCAAGTATGGGAAAAAGGGGAAAAGGGAAAAAGCGGGAAACGGGGCCTTGACTTTCTCTGTTTTAAAAAACATCGAAAGAATTAGATCCATAAATATATTTAATTAGTCAAATCCAACTAGTGGTATATTATTAATGCTGCGTTCTGATTGGTTGAGCTACTACTAGGCTTTATGTAATAGCCCACTAGTAGCAAAAAGCGCGGGGTTTTTAGCGGCAAAAAAGGATTAAAGTCTAGCTTTAACTAGCTAATTTTTTTTTATTCTTGTTCTCGATATTTTTGACTAACTACGGATTTTGCTAAAACAATTATTCCTCTCACCCTCATGGCCTCTGAGATAATATCCCATTCGGCCTTCGGCCTCATGGGCTATTGACTCAGAGCCCACTCGGGCTCGAGGAATAATTGTTAATAATACGCTTAATGCGTTTGCGTCTATTCTGAGTGATTAGATCGAAGGTTCATGACATCGTTACGATAAAAGCGATTTTGTGAATTTAATGGCAATAATGTAAACTAGAGAACCCTGGTACACCAATGTTACTTTATTACTGAAATACAATGAAAGCTTTTTCTTAGATGGTAACACAAGAGACTGAAAAAAACATTAAATTTGCTTATACGATATGTCTACAAAACCATACAAGTCAACATAAAGCAGACCTTAGTGCCTCAAAACTACATTTAACACTTATTTGGTTTCTTTTTCGAGAAAGCGCAGTTACTAAGGGACTGGTCAAAAAGTATAGGCGGGGGTGGGCCGAAGGAGAGAGGGGGTGGGTCATGAGGTTTTCAGACTTGTGCCAGGGGTGGGTCGTGCAATTTTCAGCTACCCTTAGGGGGTGGGTCACCCTATTTTATTACATAGATAGGCACTAACTACTAACGAGACAGTTGACTACACTTGTTAAATACTGAAACACAGCCAGCTGGAATTATTGCTAAAATACTCACAAACCTGTTGTGCGATAAAATACAAAGGGTGACAGGCCGCACATCTATACGGGCATGGAACCCTCTGTTAACCTTTTTTTTTTTGGCTCTAACGAGCATGTCCTTTAATGATTTTCCTTTTTTGTAAGGAAATGATTGGTGGTTCTTTAAAAATTTATTGAAGTTATAGTTGGTTTTGTATTAGATTCCATTTTTTCGTTCAAGCTTCCTTTATAGTAGACACTGAGGGCTGGTATTGTGTCACGAATGGCAATATTTCTTTTTCCTCCTTTAGGAGTTTAGACTCCCTTTTGTGAATTTTATTTTGATAGTAGGTTTTCTATCAAAGATTGTCGGTAGCCTCCGTTCATCAGGCGTTTTTTTTTGAATTTGAATTATTTTCCTCAAAGTTGTTTCTGAGGAGATATTAACATTTGGAGGGTGACATGAGGTGAAATGTGTGTGCAAAAAGGCTTTTGTTTGTTTAAAATGTGTCTTTGCATCAAGGATGGATTTTTCCTTGAATCTTGTGCCTTTGTATACAACCGTGTCTAAAAACGCAGTCTCAGCATCAAATGTTTCGGCCGTGAATTCAATAGTTGGGTGATGTAAGTTTGCTTGTTCAATGAAGGCTCCGATGTCTGGTTTACTCATGTCCCATAGGGAAAAGATATCATGTATGTAGCATTTCCAAACTGTTGTTCTAAAGACAGGTTTGCTTAGAGTTGTTGTTTCATATATGTCATGAAATTATCGGCAAAGGAATCAAAACTGCTGTCTTTGTGCCCTTTGCAGTTCCATGGTTTTGTAGGTAGTGCTTTCCATTGAAGTGGAAGAAATTTTTTTTAAGGATTAATCTAAGAATTTCCGGCAAGTAATGTGTAGGAACGGGTTGTCTTTCATATGCTTTGTGACAGACAATTTCAATATACCCTTGTTTTGCTGTATATTTGTGTCAAGACTCATAACGTCCATCGAAACAAGAAATGTTCGGTTTTTCACATTTGTCTTTTCAGTGAAAGGTATGATTTCTGGGATTTCGATATTGGTTGTAGCAGTGTATCAACAAATTTTGTCAAGCACAGAACAAGGTTTTATTGGGTTATTAAGAGGAAACAAAACATCTATGTTTTAACTATAGGGGGTGGGTCATGCAATTTCCAACCTTGCTTTAGGGGTGGGTCAGTCATTTTTGTGCCGAAGGGAGGGGGTGTGTCATGTGTTTTTTATCAACCACATTTCCAAATGCTCCGGCCCACGGCCCCCCTATACTTTTTGACCAGTCCCTAATAACAATGATAAAGGTATTGCTTAGTGGCTATCATGTAACCTTACACCTTCGGTTGTTGCTATTGTTGTTTGTTTGTTCATAATGCCCTTTTTACTAAAACCAAAATTAAAAGCAAGTTAATTATAGCGATATTTAGCGCATCGTCTCAAACATGCAAAAAAGGTTTACTTAAAAAGCTGTGTCCCGAAATTCATTACAAAAGCAGCAAGTGTGTCATAGCTAAGTAGCACATCGTCTCAAACATGCAAAACCTGTCAGTCTGTGCATAATCAGTGCGGCAATACGTGGTCATTCAGATCTCAGAAAACCTTTTTTTTCTAGGCAATCCTGCCTCTCTTGTTTGTGTTTGAAACTCTTCTAAATTCTTCCTTTTTTCCCTTAAGGGCAAAAGTAACATAACTATAAGAGAGCTTAATCGGTGACGTCTTAGATTATTAAAAACGCATCTCCTTAAGCGTTCACAAAAAAAACCCGGATTTTACACTAAACCCTAGAGCCGTGACATACCGAATAATCATATTATTCAACATAATATATCATGGGGTACTTTTATTTAACTATCAGTTTTCCAGCTTTATTTCGTAGCAGCAACCAATTGCCTTATAGTTAAAGATAGCCTTTTTAGCAAGGACAGGATATAATTGCGATTAATTTAGTTATGAATTTTTAATTTTAGTTATGCGCAATACAGGAAAACAACCCCAGCGAAATGTCAAAACTGATGCAGCACACTGCATTTTAGGTTGTTTCGTAAAAAGTTTCTACTTCGTCTGGTGTGAAGTAGTGTGATCCTGCCAAGAATGTTCGGGCGAAGGTGCTGCGGTAGCTGTATCCTCTCGGTGGGCTGTAAGTATGGCCAAGGTTGCTGTAAGAATCGCTATTGGACGACGCGTAGTTGGAAATGTAAATGTCAAATCCTCCTCCGAATGTAGGCCCATAGTAATTGTTAGTGCGTATGGAACGTTTGTAAAAAGCATATTCCCCGGTTTGAGGCAATTTGACAGGTGCCCATCCTGGCTTGTTCACCAGTGAAAACAGAAACGCTTTTGAATCGTATTGATACGAGTCATAGTTACCTTGGGCTGAGAAAGAAAAGAAAAAGAAGTAAGTGCTAATAGCGACATTGTCGTAGTACTTACAGCGAAACCATCCATATAATGTAACTTTTCTTAAGGTAAACAGGTATACAAGAAAAAGGCTCGTAGACAGTTACTGTGGCGAAGAAAGAGGGTCTTTATTCCATCATTTGTTACTATTGCTATGCGGGACAACATTCTATGTTCCCCGCACACTCTTTCCTCGCCGCGATCCACCACCTTAATTGCCGACGACTTGCTTTCTCAGGCCTCATCTAGTTCAGAGGTCGTGGGTTCAAATCCCATCGATTTTAAACGATTTCTTTCCTTGCCTGCCTTTCATGGTCCCCTAATTCCCTTTACTGAGTCTATCGCTCAGTGTGGTCTAAGGGTTATTTGTAGCACTTAAATTTTTACTTTAAAATTAATCCGATTCTCTCTCTGTTCGATCATTTGCCGTAGTGCTACGAGACTAAACATTCTATATGAACTTCGTACTGTTCACTATACTCTAACAAGAACATGGAATGCTTTACCTCCTTTAGTAACCGACACCGCTTGAATAAGCGCCCCCTTCAAAAAAACCCCCTCCGCCTTCCTCGAATTAGCGCCCCTTTAATTCTTTGCATATTTTCCCGCGAGTTTCATTTTTGGTTTTGGCGCATGCGCTTAAGAAAAAATTTGGGCAATTTTTTAATTTTTTTTGCAAATATCTATTTCGATCTTTCTTTCTCGCCCTCTTTCTTTCCCTTTCCTTTCTATTCTATATCGTTTTGTTACCCAACTTTTTGTCTTGCTTTCTATGGAATTGTGGCTGGCTAACTTTACAGGAAAGGGAGAAATTTAATTTACAAAGAGAAGTCGGGGAATAGCGAAATTGGCAATGTATTATTCCCAAAAATGTTAGTAGGTTTCTTGTGTGTAACTCTGGCAGGATTCAAAATGAGATTTATTCAGTGGGGAAATATTTATCGTTCCTGAATTTGCTACTTATCAACTTAATCACTTAAACCGGATCGAAGCTAAAGGGGTTCAGAAATGGATAATCTGCATCGTTCCATATGGAACGAAATTGGCCCGATCCACCGGCAAAGGGCTAACAACCCTCCTTATACTGATTATAAGCCGGGGCATGCACTACTTATACCTTCAAGGAATACAGCATAAATAAGATGTACGATCGTGAACAAGAGAATGACTAATTTGAGGACATTACACTGTCGCATGTCGAAGACACGGCACCTCTGATAAGGGTAGTGAAAGAATTTAGTGACTACAGCCAGGAGCGAAGTATGTGTACCATATGCGCGCAAAGTTTGGTTTCCGGTGAAAGCCACACGTTTAAGTTTTCCTGTTAAGTGTTACAGGTTTTGTTCATTTGAAACAAAGATAAGGTCATGTCGAGGCTGGAAATAAGCCCTTCCCTTTAAATAAGCGACCCCTTCGATCTCAAGTCAAAAAATTAAATAATCGCCCTGGGCGCTAATTCAAGCATATACGGTACCTCTTATCTTCCTTCAAAAGAAATCTTCTTGATCTTCCAACGATTATGAAAATGTGTAGATATATAACACAAACAAACAAGCAATAACAGACGGGCAGTTATGCTGGTACAGTCTCGCCACTCGATATCAATAATTCAGTTTTTTCATCGAGGGGACCTCTTAGGACAAGAACTGAGGTTTTTTGAGGTCTCCTCACCATTTATTCTATACTATATTCTTTATTCTTCATTTAAAATAGTTCTCCATTTCTGATTGGCTTTAATCCGCTGACTTATTCTTCATAACCAGCTGGCGCTGACAAAATTTGGAAGATGCGAGCAACAAACCGTCGATGCGATGGTATATTACCCCAAAGTACAATCGCAACCTCGTTGCATTAAATATGCGCATGATCTCGTTATCAGTTGTTATGCTTCTCCTCAATTCTGTGTGTTCGGCCATTCAGCGAGCACGATATAGTGATGTCAGCATTAACGAGTTTCGATAAACCTTTGAAAGTTCACAGCTCGTGTAAAGTTTCTTGCCACGCATACCATTTTATGGAGATGTAAGCTAAAGTTACCGCCAAAAGGACTCCAAAAGGGAACTTAAAAAAAGCCTATAATCGATTTATCTCGAATGATACACATGACTTACGTGACCCGTATTTTCCTAAAAGTGTTTTGAACACGACGAACGAACACTGTAAATGTGAGGGGCAAAAACAGTATAATATGGTACATTATATTATATTAGTATATACACACTCAGCGATCTTGGTGATCTAAGCAATCTGATTGGTTCTCTATCTCGGACTATTCACAATATTCACCTCCTAGCGAGTGGATAATGTGTGAGCTCGGTGTTTTTCCCATTTTTTTAGAGAACGATCTATTAAAAGTCGACAGAATCCTAGGGCTGACTTTTTTTAAGGCAAGAAAAGACTTGGAAGGATTCAATACGGTGTTTTTTTAGTTTACTGTAGCTGAGTTTTGTGCTCGATGGGTTGTTTACAACTCCCGTGTATTCGGGTAGAAGAAGCCGTTTCGTGAACAAGAAAATTTTTGGCTCAAAAATCGAAGTTTATTTATGACAAACAAATTTAAAAGGAAATGTTTGCAGAAATTCTACGTTTCAAGTAAACAGGAAAAAGAATGATACAGGAAGACGACGTCTTACCTCGAGCAACCGAGCCGCCATTTTTGTCAGCACTTCATGCGAAGAACGACACAACAAAACTAACAAACCCTTTTGGCTATAAACTTGGCGAGTCAACAGAAAACAACAAAGCTCTACTTTTCTTCTCAGGTAAGGAAACAGTTCAAACTTTTAGCGGTTCCATTTAAGCCATTACGCTGTTGTTTGCGAAATGATAAACTTACGCGTGATTTGATCTGTCAATCAAATCGTGCTTTTTAATAGTTTCCGCTGTGATTTTGTTGAGATCACTTCGTGTGTATATACTAAAACAATTATTCTTTTCAATCTCGGTGAATAGTAGCTTTGGGAATATTTACCTCGCCGCTTTCGCGGCTCGGTAAATATTTTGCCACTATTCACCTCGATTTCAAAGAATAATTGTTAAATATATAGTATATTACAGTATAATATATAATATCGTGCATTGAGATGAATCGCTTGAAAAGAGAGTTCATGCACCTGTGATCAGAAGTAAACAAGAGAACATAGTGCGTTTACACTGCGTTTCGTTCAGTCTTTTTAATATCCAGGGACTGTGAATAATGTTTCGATATTGTTTGGCTGGCACAAAAATTCGGAGGGATTATAAAGCGGCATAATTTTCTGCCATGAAGAAAAGTTAGTCACGGGTGAGACAAACAGCGAACTCGGGCGAATTTTCAACTCATATTAGTATCACGGTAAAATACGTGATATCGATCGTTTCATCTTTTCACATTGTTTAAAGTGCGTGCGGATGAAATCAAACTTTTTCGGGTCAAAATGCAAAACAATTTATTCCTTTAAGTTAAGGAAAAATACCAAAAAAAATCTTAAAACTGAATATTTTTATCGTGTGGAAAAAAATAACGCCTTTTTGACGTAGACTGTAGACCGCGCAGTCGGCAGCCCAATGAACCTCCACTATCGGGTTCTTGTCTGTATTTTAAGCTGATTTCCAAAATGAACTGTAGGCTCTTAGCCAATGAAAAGACATATAGTGAGTAAAGTGTATGAAAATAATACATATTTTTTAAAAGTCTTTTAACACAATTTTTGTAATGAAAAGTAAGGTAGTGGGTGCAGAGGGCCATGTTACCTCATTTTCCAAAGATTCAATAGTCGATGACAACATGAAATTTAAACCTGTTTTGCTGGCTAAAACCACGCCTTCATTGCAGGGTCAACAGACTCCATATTGTCCACCATATTGCTCACCTGTACATTTACATGTAACTTCTTAGTGCTAGTAGCGGAAAAAGTGTTATCGTAATATCTCTGTTTACAATGCGCACTTACCCCAAGATTTACTAGTGTATCCTCCGAAAATATATCTCCCGACCCTTATTATTGTCACAGTCGGGCCCTTGCCGTCACATCCGGAGTGAAATGTCCTTGCAGCCCAGCCGTCCACGGATGCACGCCAACAGTGTTTCCGGAAAGGATTGACGCTTTTTGCCACAGGTTTAAGCCAGTTAAATAACAAAGTCAAGTGGTTTATGTTGCTTCCCACAATAGCAGAGTCTTGTAATCCTGAAAAGAAGGTCGATTGCAATAACTATGGTACAAGAATGAATCTGATTTGGTCTCAGAATAACCCAAAACATTTTGTGCAAGACAAATACGATGTTGGACGAAAACTTTGATCGTTTAACAGGGCGTAAAAGAGCGTAATCACGCTTCGCCCATCCACGGACTCCCGGTAGACGCTGCTAAGAAGGTCTCTATGGAGTTAACAGCTAGCCTTAAAACAGCCAAAGATTTTGGTCTTTTGGTGTAAATGCGGAAATTTTAGCCGTTAGTCGTAAAAATAGTTAACAGTAAGAAATTTATTCCATCAAAATAATTGTGTCTCAGTTACAGCCGGTGCAACGCGGGAAGCCTTGATACCATTAATCCCGTCGAGACGCAGACCTCCTTGGACGCAATCCCTTGATTTGTATATAAAAAATATATATATATAAATATAAAATATTTGTATATGGTAACGACAAACACAGATTTATAACAGATCGGCAGCGATTGAAAATCTGTCAAATTGATATACCTAAGTGATCTAGCAAGACTGGAAAACAGTCTTCAGTTTACACTATAGAAGAGTACGTGCCTCAAAATCCTGCCGTATGGAAGACATATAGTTTGGACAGGTTAGAAACATTTTTCAGAAACGTTTAACTCCTATTAGTTTTCATTCAAAATGTGTCTCTTATGTTGTTAAAATGTCTCTTATGTACCTCGTCCGTATATACAGTTAAATCCATTTCCTCCGTAGCCATTGTTACAGGTGCACTTAAACGAACCCCACAGATTTGTACAATTAGCCTTTAGATGACAGAACTTGTTGCCACTGCACTCATTCAGGTCTGTTAAGGCATAAACAAGAAAACAAAAAAAAAAATTCAAGAAAAAAAATATGGTGTAAAGCAATATTTGATTCTTATTGCCAAGGTAATCATGGCAAACGCTTCAAGAGAGCTAAAAACATGGAGAAGACAGGGAAAGAATAAGAGCGGTGGATGTGTTATCTGATATCGAGACAGGAAGATGTAGTTCAAAAAAAGAGCACAACCTAGTTTTTATTAGTATTCACCAAATCAGTGGATAGAAATTTTCGCGCGTTCTGATTGTCTAGGGTAACTCGGAATATCCTTGGATATTCACTGTTTTGGGACAGGATTCTGCGTCTCGTTTCGCAACAGTGTCGAAAGATGAAATTTTAGCGGTAAATGAAGCAGCTGCACCAACAAATACCAAGAAAGAGAAAAAATTTGGTTTCTCGGTGTTTACTGGTCAGTAGAAAAGAATTTTCTTACTGAATTTGGAACAAAATCATAACAATTGATCCCTGAAACACTGTCAATTGAAACCTAAACAAACTATAACTAAGCGACGTCTTTTATTTACAAAAAAAGTTCCTTTTTGATTTTTATCCAACTGATTTCGTATGTAAATACTAAAACAACTAACCCCTCAGGGTCGGTTCATAGCGCTCGATATATACTCCGACGCTTCGCGTCTCGTTATTAGATCCACCACTATTCTCCTCCGATTTGGGGGATAGTTGTATAACAGACGGACTTTGATGTATCAAGGGTCTATAACCGGGTTCCAAGCCTGTTTGCAGATGTTTTTCTACTCTGATTTGATGAAAGCGAGAGCGAGCGTGAAGCGCAGAAAATAGAGGTTCTGTGAACAGGCTAGCCTGTTCCAGGTGTTTAGTTAGTGGAGAGCAGAGCGAAGTGAAGAAATCGAAGAAAACGAAGAGGGAAGTCTGTTTTCTTCTCTCCTCTCTTTACTTCGCGCTGGGCGCGGGGACAGGCTACAACAAACAGGCAAAAGACCGGCTTGTTGGGGGGTGATGTTTATAAAGTTCTTCAGCATGCACGAGGTTGTTGAAACAGCAGTCACTCTCACCGCCAACAGTCTTAAACGGGACTCAACTCATCCGGATTATATAACCTACTTATAAAAAAGACTTCTTGGTTGTTTATGTAATTTTCCTTTGACCTTTTTTGCAGGTATACTGATGACAGTCACTGCACTTCACGTCATTCCACTTGTAGTTGTGCCCAATGCCAAGTGTATGCGCACAGTCTTCATCTCCAACATTATTTGGTTGGTTTTTGGCCCAAGCTGTAAAGTTTCCTGGCCGGCTCCCTGCCCAGGTGAACGTTCCCTCTCTGGAAATGTCATTTAATCCCAGCCAGGACTTTGCTCCATTGCGAAGACGTTGTATAAATACGTTTTCCTCCTTACTGTAGACGTTGACGAGACTTGCGTTTTTCTGCCGGCAATTCGCCAGAGCTTCGGTCCAATTTGCGCACTTCTCGCTGACTGCATAGCAAAAGCTATTAAAGTAGCTCCAGCCAGGATCACAGATATCTATATGTGGTAAAAATATAAAAAACCCTAAAATCACTTTCGCGTTCGTGGATCCTTATGTCCTGGGTCTCGTCAGGTAAAAACCAGCATTTTGTTAGACCCCGTACACATTACAAACGTAATTCCAGACGTAGTTAATCGATAAAAATTGATATCGAAAATCAATCTATATCTTCGATATTAATCAGTTTAACCCGCCCATGAATATCGCTTGATATCGGAAATCGATCGAAATCGAAGTCACAGAAAAAATAATTTATCTTCTATTATCGATTAACAAAATCGATAACAATCGATAGGAATCGATAGTAATCGATAACAATCGATTAAAATATCATCATCGAATTCTATCGGAAAATCATCGACATTAATCGAAGACACAACTGTTTTTCTTTATCGATTTCTATCGATCGATATCGGAAATCGATATTCATCTTTGATTGATATCAATTACTATTGATTAACTACGTCTGGGTGATTGTTTGTGAACACCTTCATTCCGATCCTATGCATCACCTCAAGAGCCATAATGGCTCTTGATCACACTTAAACGATACGGCAGTTTAAAATTTATTCGTAGAAATCTGAATGTGAAGATTCAAGTCTGAGATTGTCCTTTGGGGTTCCGATATGGAACGATTTGCCCTTTGTGAGAGTGGTTCCCAAATAAAAACCCTCCCCCACCCTCGAGAGGCTTATATACGGGGTGAAGTCTTACAAAAGGCCTCTTTGGGACACAAATTTGCGGGCTTATATTCGAAGGGCTTATAAGTGACGGGGCCTTTTTATGTTCGGAATTTTACGTCACCTGGTATAAAATCCACTTTCAATGTATTTGTTAACGCGAAAACGGGAGATTAAACGTGCACATGTGCACAGAGCCTACGAAAATACGATTTTTTGTATGTTTATCATTCGAAATAACTATCAGTTTAGAACAAATTTTCAGTATTTGCGAACCTGTAAGCACTGCATAACTCACTGACAAGGGATCATATCTGGTTCCAAACAACTCTTTGACACAGACTCTGAATCCAGAGGCATTCATGTTCTAAAAACAGATTAAAACAAAACATACATACCGAGACGTCGAGCGGCATTGTTCGAACTAAAACAACTAGCGTTTGGCGGTGTACGAGTTCAGAAAATGACAAGTGCTATATCTTTTCTCATTTATCACGTATATTTTATATCACGGTATCATTATTATTATTATTATTATAATTTACTATCAAAGTAACTAATCCGCTCGTGAGGCGAATTGTTTAGCAAGAGCACCAGCCTCCAGATACCTCAGAAATTCGAACACCGTAACTGAGCACACAAAAACAAAAAGACTACTGTCTAGGTGAGAGGCTAGAGCAGGTGAACAACTCCCTGCCGACAAAAGCTAAGCGAGCTGTTGAGTTAGCTCCAGAGAAGGGATCATCAAATTGCCGGACCGTGATTCCCCTCAAACAGCTGGATTACAATCTGAATAAGAAGGAATTTAGCGATGCAATCAAGTTACGGTTCGACTAGGAAATAACCGACACCCCCATCCTAAGCAGATCTACAAGAAGTATTAGAACGAGAAGAAGAGGCAATATGCGGAAAGAGTAATGGAGATCGAACAGGGAACGTTCACTCCCCTAGTTTTCACGATCACAGGTGGAATGGCGGATGAGTGTGTTAAGTACCAAAGCAGACTTGCGGAGCTGATCGCAAATAAGAAGGGAGAAAGTTACTGAAGCGCAATTTCCTGGATAAGAGCTAAAGTATCTTTCGCCATCGCACGCTCTGCGATACTATGCTTGAGAGGCTCAGGATCCAGAAAACGACAGCTAGACTTTGTTGACTCAGATGTACAGATCGAAAATATTAGAGCCTGCCCGAATTAATCTCTTTTAGGAACTTTTTAAAGAATTAGGAATTTAGGAATACGAAATTTTATTCTTTTTAACTTGTTTCTTTTTTAAATTAGAGACGGATAATTCTCTTTTGTAATGACTTAATTCAAAACTCTGGACTGCCTGCAAGAGTTATTGATCGCGTCTGAGCTGCAAGGAATGAATTTGGGAAATCGTTATTGGGTATAGTGATTGTATTTTTATGATTTATATAATTCTTAGTGTTGGATGGTGCTAAATTCTTACTTCAAATATTTTCGGTTAATTATGTACATATTTTTAAAGTTGAATAAAATTATTATTAATTAAAAATTATTATTATCATTATTATTATTATTAATATTATCATTATTAATATTATTATTAATATCCATCATAAGATGCAATTAGGGTGGTCAAACAGAACATTAGTGTCATCAGCGAGTAGAAGGGACTCAACGTTACTAAAACAATTAGGAAGATCATTGATATAAAAGATTAAAAAGAGGGGCTCAGGTATGGAAACCTGGGGAAATCCAAATACTAGTGTCCTCTGTTAAGCTCTGCTCTCAGTATTTTTATAGTCTACTGTACATATACCAATTGCAAATAAGTCTTCAAAAGATCAAGAAAAACTCCAGCCTAAAATTTGTTTTCGCCAGTTGAAGAGGGAATCCATTTGACAAGATTAGTTTTTGCATTTGACGTGGAATGACCCTCAGGGATGCCAAATTGATTATCAAATGATACGCTGCTGTCCACTAGATACTTCAAAATTCGAATGCAAACAGCTCGTTCAAAATTAGTTGGGAAATACTGAAAGGACCTAGAATGGTTTTCTTAGAGACAGATCAGTCAAAAGGAAAACTGTTTTGAGCACTGTGCACAACTATTAATGATGATGATGAAGATGATGATAATAGTAATGATAATGATAATGATAATAATAATAATAATAATAACAAAAATAATAATAACAATAAATTCAATTACTTCTATCGCGCTATTTACATATAAATGATCAGGGGGAAAATCTATTCGCTAACTGATAATCAATATGGAATATAAAATGCACTGAAATAAAAATAAATTAAACCAAATAATCTTAATGAGTAAACCTAATACAACAAGAAAGCTCTAAAAAGCGTTCAAGTCTCGCTTGCTTGGAGATAAGATAAGGAGAAAAAAAAAGCTACAATCATCGTCAAAAGTGTTGGGAAGGTTGTCTTTTTTACCTCTTCTTTTCCTTCCTCCCCCCGCCCCTGGTCCATTGTTGATCAAAACGTTAACGTTTGTGCGCGTAATTGTTCTGTTATATTTCAACATTGAATGGGGGGGACAGGGGATATTTAGCAAAGAGAAAACTCTCTTTTTTCACCATTAAAATGGACTACTGTTAAGTTGTACAACCTTTCCAACTACTTTTGTCTGTGATTGTAGCTAGCTAGGTTATACAGTAACCATTAAGTGCCTTTGGTATATACAATAATATAATATATTCGCACTACAAACCTGTTGTCCCGGCACGAGTAGCCTGTGAACAGGCTCTCTGTTTGGGGAAAGGGTGAAAAAATCGCGAGGAGAGGTAAGGGAAAGACCCTTTCCCTTCCCTCTCCTCCCTCTCCTTGAATACCTCAACATGTGTTAAGGTATTTAATACTAGTAATACCCAAAGGTTACGGAGTGCGCGCGACAACGATCGAAGGTCACACGGTTTTGCTCCAGCGCTGTGTTTTGCCTAAATTTCACGTGACGAAAGTCAAAACACGCGTGATCAGATTACGAGCCATAGAAGGTTCAAACGCGCTGCATTCCAAACATTCTTAGTGGAAATCCAAACGAATACTGGCTACATACATGCGACGCATGCGTAATAACAAACTGGAGATTAGGATAGCGGGCTCCTTTTGTCGCCCGCAATAACTTATTATTGAACCACATGGACAGAGTTTTAACTCGCAAAGCCGCGCATGCTCCGATGTCATATTCACCAAAAGCACGTACTACTTTGTGCGATATAAATTTTACCTAGTTCAGTTTTTGTCTTGTCCCTTTCTACATAAATTTCGTTTTAATTAATCCTTCCTTTAACATCCAATTTCTTTGATTGTCAAGGCATCTTTTCATAGCGCTAATGGAAGTTTTCTTTAATAATCTGCGGAAAGCACCGCTACCCTTGCAACTGACCTGAAATAGTGTCACACTAGAGCGATTTTTACCTCAATCCACGTGGAAATACCGTTGTGAACTGGGGCTGAGTTCCCGGATACGTTTGTGCTGTGATTGGCAGCGATGAGCACTGTTGGAGTCGAGCTATAACTTCTTGTGAATAACACGAACTGAAAAACAAGAAATACCCGAAAACATTTAGCCAAAAAAAGTGTGAGTAACGTTTGACGACCAATCGTGTAATAAAAGTGATACATATTAACTTTTTTTCTATTCTTACCTTGCAAAATGCATTATTATTTTCATCCAAAGGTGGTGGGCTAGTGTTGTTGGTGCCTATAAAATCTACGCTGCCGTGCTCAAAAGACAGTGGCTTTTTCAGCGATTTAGAAAACGCAAACCAGTTCTGCAAACAAAAATTCATTGAAATTAGTGGTTGTTAGCTACACTGACTCTTTAAATATATTATCATCGTAATTCAGACCCGTTATAATTATTGTTTTCAATACAGCAATTTTTCTGTAGACTCCGGGCGTATGTCGTTATGGCGGACGGTCACGTTTGATAGGGCTTAATATAATTATGGCTACAACTGAGCAGGTTATTAGAACCTTCTGAAGAAGGAACTTGTTCCCCTCCACTTTAAAATGGAAAATGTGTCAACCACTTTTTACATCTATTTTACTGTAATTGTGATTATTTGGGCGTTGCCCAAATAGAGTAATCGAGATAGCTTGTTTTGATTCAAAGTTGCAATAGGCACGCAATACGTGCGAACGTAAGCAAGCCAAGGGACGCGACTAGAATGTCTGCAGCGCGATTTGCCACGACACAGCATTTATCCTCGTTACATACATCGCACAGATAAGGCACGGAAAACAAATCGGCAATAGAAGTCAAATGATCGAAAAAACAAGGTACACTGAGTGAAACAAACTATTAGGTTCTTCATACACCCTTCTCTATATTAAATGGGCTTTCCTTACCCACGTTCTCTCCATACAAATCCATACAAATATTATCAAAAATAACCGAGAAAAAAATCCTAAACAGAAAGGCTAACAACGTTTAAAATAAGTACAAGTATGTTTTAGACTATTGATAAGATCTCTCAAAACCACCACTTCATTTAAACAGACTGTTACTGCTTTATCCCTTCGTGACCGAATTAGCACAGCCACAACTACCTCACTGCAACACCTCAAATCACTGTTACCTTCCAAAAACATATTTTTTGTTACTTTATATTAAATTCTACTAGAAACCAGTTTCACTGATTAACAAACTACAGCCATTATCTTACTAATCCACGCCCAATATAACTCCACGCCTTCCACTTCAAACATCTCAACCAACCCCTAAAATATACATCGCTACTGCACTACTAACACATCCTAATAGACATAAAAAAACTTCACACACGCCTACTACATCGACGCTCAAATATACGGTCCCACAGCGTCTCGTTTGGTTCTGTTTTTCGCCTGTATTTAAAAGAAACGTATTTTGCAATACGGGGGCCAACCAGAAAACTGAATGGTTAACTTGGCCACCATAAAAAACCTTAATATTAACCAAATAAAATGAACGTATATACCCATAAACAATAAAAAAGGCATGTAATTTTTTAAAATTAGCAAATAAGTTGTGAACAAATGAATTGAATTGAATTGAATTGGCGCAAATTGGTAAATGCGATAGATTGTACGACAAATTAAAGGCTTGGTTTCCATACACTCGTCCAGATCGTCCTAATAGCCTCAATCAATGTTCTTCGACGACTTGGACCGGATCCCGACGTTCTGAATGAATATTTAAAACTTCAGTCGTATCCAGCCTATCCAGGCAATTGCCATCGCCTCAATCGTTTGGACACAGGGAGCCGGAACGCTGTATTAGCTAATAGAAAAAAATTAGATGTATTTAAGCTGTATTAGCTAATAAAATAATAAGATTCATTTACCTTTGTTCCTGTGTCTTTATGAGTCGTTTTGGAAGGGATCTGAATCCGATCAGAGACGGTTAACGTTGCTGGTCATCAAGATGCGTTTGCTTGTCTGGCGTGTTGTAAATATAAAGACGCTCAAGTTTCCTCTAATATTGTTAACTATTAACTCTCCTCTAACGGCCACGTTTCTAATATTGTCATATTAACTATTAACTCTCGATCTCCTTGGGAGATGATCTCGGGTTTCAATTTAATAGTTAACAATATTAGAGGAAACTTGAGCGTCTTGTTTACAACACGCAAGACAAGCAAACGCATCTTGATGAGCAGCAACGTTAACCGTCTCTGATCGGATTCAAATCCCTTCCAAAACGATTCATAAAGACACAGGAAGAAAGGTAAATGAATCTTATTATTTTATTAGCTAATACAGCTTAAATACATCTAATTTTTTTCTATTAGCTAATACAGCGTTCGGGCTCCCTGTGGTCTGGATAGTCTCGCATCGCATCAGAAGTGTTTCTATACTAAGAGTAATCGGAGCTTAGAAGAGTTAGCCTCCCACGAAGGCGTTTTTAGGGGAAGAAATACGAGCTCCCCTAAAAACGCCTGCGTGGGAGGCTATAGAAGAGTGCGTTCGATATGTTTGTAAGGCGTACGGGTATCAGTTGAGGAGGAAGGGTGGATGGTTATTGCGATAGATTAAGCCCGGTTTCCGTATGAACGCTACGATCGCTGTGATCGCTGCGATCACTGAGAAAAAAAAGTTCAGCGATCGCAGTGACAACGATCGCTGAGATAGAACTTTTTATATCTCGGGGATTGTTGTCGCTGCGATCGCTGGAGAGTGGTTTCATATGATCGCTATGATCGCTGTGATCGCTGAAGTTTTTTTTGTCTCAGCGACCGCAGCGATCACAGCGATAGTAGCGATGATATGGAAACCGGGCTTTAATTTGATCATGGCATATTTTAAACGTAAGGATTGCTTACAGCGCAACCTCTATTTAAACTGTGAATCATTATGAAAAAGCCTTGAAGGCTAGTTATATCGTATGGTCCGTCTCAATAAGTGCAATAATTTGGTCGAGTGGGTTAATTTCAGTGACTTGAGTGGAGCTACTGTGGGCTGTTTATAAGTTTTTCCGAATATATAACATAGACCCAAAATGTTCGTTTGTCCGGTGCCGAAAATATCACAAGTCATGATGAAACGGCGCCGCCGAGCTTCACATCTCAGTAGATTTACTTTGTGGCACAACGGCCGCCGAGCTGCATAACTCTGTAGATTTACTTTGTGGCACAACGGCTGCCGAGCTACACAACTCTGTAGATTTACTTTGTGGCACAACGGCCGCCGAGCTACAACCAGTTGCAAAAGTACTTGAGACACTGTACCGTATTTTGGCATAAATGGCCTGTCCATGATCTTGTGCTTGTGATCCCCCCTCCACCGCTTATCAAAGTTGCTAGCAATACAAGACCGTACTCAAAACTTGGAGGAACAACCTTGAATGGGATGGAGGAGGGAGGTCAGTATTATATTTTACAGACCTGTGACCAGGAGCGATTTGAAGCAAGAAAGGTCGTTTTTCCGTGGGAGTGTCTCATCATTTTTGCAACTGGTTGTCTGAGTCCTTCATACCCCTATAGCCGTGGTGCACGATTATTAAACGGGGTAAAACGTGGTGCACTCTTAGCACCTAAGGAGGTGGTTATAAAAAAAAAGTATTTCATTTTTGTCGGTTTGCGTGTTTAAAAATGGCGAGACAAAAAAGGCAGTTGTTGGCCCTTTTGTTTATGTGGTAATATGCAAGAACTTGGGCTTTTAAAGGAAGAACGTGGCAAAAGATGCCACACCATCTTAAGTAAGCTGCAACGAAAGGGGTTTTTGGTCCTAAAACGCTACAGAGATGCGAAAAATAATATATTTTCTTCGAACTCGGTTAAAAGATGTTTATTTATGAGAGGAAAGTGACGTAAGATGCCCCGCTAGATCATGGAGATAGCTTTTTGTTGTTGTTTCCGATAAGTACGTGGACGTGGTTCCTCTTTTATCGCCTGCCATTTACGGGAAAGAAAAGTTACGCTAAAAAGCAGCTGTTGGCGACTTTACTTTACTTAACACAAGTTTGGATTTGTGTTTACTCTTTGGTCGTCTTACAACTTTGTTTCGATTTTGAAGCCCGAGTGTGGCTATAGGCATCAGATAATGAAAATTCACGTGCGTATTTCAGTAACATAGTCGCGAGAGCTCGCATATAACGTGGCTTTGTAGTTCTGTACTTGGTAAGGAAATTTATTTCTTTGGAAAAAGGAAGACACTATCCCCAAGAAAAGCAATTTTCCAGCACAGCAATGTCAGGAATTTACGTGCTTCAACGGTCTACACGGTCTACACGGTCTACCATCATATGAGATAAATATAATAATATATTCTATTTCTTACTGTTGCAGAATGGTAGACCGTGGTGATGGTAGACCGTCAGAAAATAGAAATTAACATAGCACACAACGTTTTCTGCTCTCTAGCTCTAACGGACTTTAATAACCATCCTATTTTCACCGTAGTAGATGAAAAAAACTGAACGGTTTTACTTTAACAGCGATGTTGAAAAATAAGTCACGCGGTATACCGATTACATAACGCCATTGCATATCAAATGTCATTGCGTTACAGATACAGGGGTGAAAAGGAAGGTTTGGCAGCTTTATTCGCAACTATAGTATCTCTAAATACCAAGAAAAGGAAAATTATGCTTTTATTATGCATTCGCGCTTCTCAGAGTTTAATTACAACGCCGAAACTTTAAGCTATGTCACGGTAGATAATGGCGCATGCGTTACAACAAAAGTGAGGCAAAATTTACAAGTCACTACATTCTTAAGCGCTTTTTTAGGCAGTTTGATATCAATAACAATGCTGTATCGGCTGGGTAAAGCAACACAAAGTGTCATTCTATTTATTTATGTCGCTATAGTCTTCGTTTTGGGAATTTAAGACGTGGAAATCGCTTGTTGAAGTAAACCTTAAATGAGACAACCAGTTGCAAAAGTACTTGAGACACTGTACCGTATTTTGGCATAAATGGCCTGTCCATGATCTTGTGCTTGTGATCCCCCCTCCACCGCTTATCAAAGTTGCTAGCAATACAAGACCGTACTCAAAACTTGGAGGAACAACTTTGAATGGGAGGGAGGAGGGAGGTCAGTATTATATTTTACAGACCTGTGACCAGGAGCGATTTGAAGCAAGAAAGGTCGTTTTTCCGTGGGAGTGTCTCATCATTTTTGCAGCTGGTTGTAGCTTTAATTTGTGGCATAAAGGCCGCCGAGCTACACAACTCGGTAAATTTACTTTGTGGCACAACGACTGCCGAAACTTTTGAAAGATGAACGTTTTGAAAGATTCAGCCAACACAGATCGATAGTAGCCCTTCAGCAAACTCTTGAAATATGTACGCTTTACGAAGATTCAGCAAACGTTTAAAAGATGAACGCTTTACGAAGACAGAATACAAGACCTCAGCAAACGCTTGAATGCGCACGAATCGCCACGTGAGCAAACGTAAGCAAGCTCCTCAAAGCGAGGCAAATGTGTGTCGACGACGACGACAAATGAAATCTCGAAAAAACCTCCCTTATTGATTGCACAGGAAACCCAATAATGCACAGAACACCCAACACAAAATAGGGGTTGCGTTCTCGTACCTCGAACGCAATAACTGTGTCGATCGCCTATTTGAGACGACTTGGGCTATTATGCTGGCTATTATGTTGCCCAAAGAATCTTGCTTAGCGACAACTTTTCCTGAAAGAAATGATTCTCCAGTTCTCTCTTTCCGTTTAAGAGCAATAAATATGCCTCTAATTTTACTTCTGACACATACCACACTAATATCCTCGTGTTTACCATCAAAGTTTTGCAGTTCCCGAAGACAAACTTGAAATGAGCTATTTGTTACGTCTTCGGTCCAGATGAGAGCGGCATCATACTCTTGACCTGTTTTCAGATGCTCTGAAGTCACAAGGACTACTGGGGCCTCAGTGAAATTTCCCTGATGAAAAAGCGAGTAAGTTTGTCAAAATTGGAATGTTCTGAAAATAACAACAACTACAAAACAATTTGAACAATGCCGAGAAATTGGGAAACGCAATATAAAATGTTTTTCCTTCCACACGAGTCCACACTAGTCCTACTAAATTTGAAAAACGCATCTTTTTTTTTGGCAAAAATGAATACAGTGAGTTTTCAGAGATGTATGAAAAGCGTTTCCGAAAAGTGCTGTTTTGGGTGGACAATTCATCATGTTTATTGTGGACGAAAGGCTGTAAGATAAATCAATCCATCGTGATGTTCACTCGACGGGACCTTACAAGGTTTTAAAGAATGACGAAACAGTCATATAGATGGTTTAGGATTACTGAAAAGAAACCGAGGGAGGATATAAAGAAAGAACAAAAATTCCCTACGGTATTGCACATGTTGCGGTCTGGCACTAAGTTTTAGGTAATATGCCGATATAAACTACAAATTACGTTAACTTTGCGCATGATTTTGCGATGATAATTTTCGTTTGTTTAGTATTTGTGTTTCATGTAGCAGACACCAATTAAGCCCATGCAAAATTCCCTTCATCGTCATGGTTATTATTCGGCACTCTGGCTGCATACAAAAAAAAAACGGTTCGGGAAACATTTAAAATGTTCCCATCATACCTTGGGAAACGTCACTTTCTCGCAGTTTGTACCACTCCACCATTTGGGCAAATTAACCGTTCCCGTAAGTGCTTCAGGAGGCCCTCCCTGATAGGCAGCCCAATCAATGCTGGCGAAAGGGGTAAATTTCTCTTTTTTCCTTCCTGCTTGCAAGGCACAAACTGTAAAGGTTTTTGCGCTGATGTTTTCTGTCCATGCAGTCACCGCGTCGTGGACTTTAACAGAGTCATTCAATTTGATGTGATTGGCAGTTATTTGGACATGAACCTGTTTATCCGGGTAGAACCGGTATGGTGGAAATGTAACAGTCTGACAACTTGAATCGAGCCATTTTGGAACACGGAGAAGGTCTTCTCGGCCCCGCACAAAAGGAAAAACTGTTCAACAAAAAAAAATATCAACTTAAAACACTATTTGGTTCATGAATAATCTCATGATTTCAGTGCCTCTTACTCATATGCGCTGCCCTTCCGCTCAGCTGTATACCGATGCGAGCCCAAGTTTGCTTATCCCGTATTTTTTTTTTTTTTTGGAATTTTTTCTTTCGTTGCTTGTTCAGTTGTGGTTCAGCTGACGTTTTCACCAACTTTCGTCGAGTTCAGTTGTGATGTTACGAATTTCCTTTTTGTTTTGTGTTGTTAATGACTACTACAAAAATGTCCTGTGATCAGTACATGTGCTGCTCTTTTTGTGGGTGGCCATGGCCACTCCCAAAGGATTTAGTAGAGTAAAAACTAATTGTCCAATTAGTCGCATTTTAGGCATTATACTGATGATTATAATTACTTCCTCCATTTAGATATTTACAGGAGCAACTTATATTTACAGTCTGTCGCCCATGAATTTATTTGCTAGAGCTCTTATTGTATCCAGTACTTTCACATAAAGCAACAGTGCTGACAACAACGAGGATGCGTAATAACGTGACTTTGTTGTGCAGAGCCACTTCAGATTTGGTTTTTGAAAATTTCGCTACATCTGCAAAGCCACGAGGGATGTCAATCCGTCTCACTTTGTTCATGTTTCACCAAATATAATCAGCTTGGTGCTACTCCAAGTTATTTTATTGCAGCATAGCGTGAACTGTCGCAAGCCCTGGGCTTATACATCTTCGTATGGGGTTTTAGGAGGACTCTGTTATCAATAAACGGAGGGGCCTATACCCGCCGGGGCTTATGACTAGAATAGAAAAAAGCACTTCCGAGTTTCTTCGGAACATCTTTAGCAGTAACTGATCAAAGTAAGTTTTACATTTACTGGTTATTAAGGTATTCCTGGAGACTAATTATCGCATTTTTACCATAATTCTGCGTGCTCTATATAATGGGAAGCAGCTGTTCAAAATCTACCACATTCACAAATTCAAGTTAAACTTTATTTCAGATTGAAAACGTTAATAAAAAATCGGGGGCAGGGAGGGGGCGCTTATATCCAGGGGGACCTATAACGGCTTAGAAGTGGCAGTTTACGGTCTTGCTTACCTTCACAGTTTCCCGGATGGTAGATACGGGGGTCGCTCTCAAGTCTTTTGCAGTAGCCGAGCTTCTGCCAGCATTGATTGTCGTATGTCGTACCGCTCGCACTGCACACTGGATCTTGATACGATGGACATTGATCATTACATTCACAGCGACCGCCATAAGCATTGTATGCTTTGCAGACTCCAAATCGAGGGCATTGCACATTAAGACAAGGATCTATGTCTATGTTGAAAAAAAAGGGTGGATAATTTAGTAGAGTTCAGTTTAAAGGAATTTTAATTCAACCAACGAGCTGGGAGCTTTCTTAAAGGGCCTAAGTCAAAAACGTACCTCCAACAACAGCATAGGTTACAGTAAGTGGGTCGTGGATAGGACCTGAACCACTGAGGTCTTTAACACATATCCTCATAGATTGTAAGCCAACGTTCTGCAAAGAGAGACAGGTACAAGCAAGTTATCATAATACAAAAGAAGTGCGTTTTCATTTTAGCAGATTATGCTGGTGAGAATCGTTTTCTTGCTAATAGCGAGAACAGCAGTAAGAAACGAAAAGAAACGTTTCCTTTCCGTTATTATGTTATGTTTTTTTTACAGTTGCTGTAATAAAAAATATAATGATAATAAAAACCTGGCGACAGGTTAAGAATAAAGAAAAAGAGAACGGCAGGAAATGAACACACCAAAGTGTAACCGTGGTTTAAAATTTAAACGTTTTCCTATTTGGGAATGTCTAATGACGTGAGTATAGAGAACGAAACATAAACCTACCTCCACCCAGGTCGAGATTATGTTATTTTCCAGGAGAAACCGGCCGTTCGCGTGGCGATCGTATCGGTGATTGACAGAAACAAGGACAACTGGTGACTCTTGGAATGTTTTATTGAAAGAAACGTCCTGTAAGAAAGAAGGAATTCAACACGATTTAGAATCGTGGCCTGCGTAGCAAACGTAATTTAACCTCAGTGTTAGTAACGTCTGTGAAGCGTTCCGATATCCTTGTTCTGCGGATTCCTTTCCGGGTTTTCCTTTCCTTCCTGGGATATCCTTGTTCTGAAATACGTTTTGTATGTCCCATCAACCTGACTGTCAAATCGACAATGGCATTTTAAACAGACCAATTATGGCGCGTACTCAAATCCTCTTAAACATGTGAGGGCCCAGACCAAGGATTTCCGCGCTGTTTCGCAGACGAACGTAACCAGAGATAGTTTCGACCGGTGGCAGGGGCTAAAGGATCGTGGTTCTCATCGATTAACGTAGTAAAGCACAAACAAAACACTCAAGTAGTTTGGTCTTTGTTACCTTGACAGCTGATTGACAGCTACCACTCACCTGGCAGAAGCCATAGTTGTCCTCAGCTGACGGGTATCCGTCATTTGGAAAGAACTTTTCTCCGGCAGTCACGTTGTCAAGCCTGAGGAATGCGAACCAGTCCTGTCGGTGAAAGAAAACCAGAAACGTACAATGATCCAAGGGATCATTTAATGGATTTGCCCTAAGTGAGAAGTAAGTGCTAATGTTGGCTTAGGGGAGGGATAAGTGGGCAGTTTCCCAGAAACGTAAATGATCCAAGGGATCATTTGATGGATTTGCCCTAAGTGAGAAGTAAGTGTTAATGTTGGCTTAGGGAAGGGGTAGGTAGGCAGTTTCCCAGAAACGTATAATGATCTAAATTAAGTTGGAGAATTCATCATCATTTTACTGTTTTAGTTGATATCCTTCGAAGTACTAGTTAGCCCATGCCTCATATCAAGAGAGGTTGTTAATTTTCCCTTTCCGGTTTTTGCAGAAATTCTAAAAACGCATTAACCTGTTAAACACTGGCATAGTATGTGGTCCTGGAGATCTGCTAAGTACAAATTAAATATAAAAGGACCTAATATGAAGCCTTGTGGGACGCCAGACACTAACTATTCCTAGATCACAGCTGGTGAAATGAGGATGGATTCCCGAAAAAAAAAAAAAACATATATCTATGTTACGTGTATACTTTATCGTTATTTCCCACGTACCAGAATTGTATCTCTGTGTTTTCCATCAAAAGGCAAGAATTCCCTGATGCAAACTTCGAAACCTTCAGAATTTACATTCTCCAACCATACATAAACAGCATCAGTTGGCTTTGTACTGCGGCCGTATTTTGCGGAAACAAACACGTACGGCTTAGAGGCAAAGCTCTGGAAGACAAAATACGAGGTCAAATGAGCCTATGGACAATGAAATGGACGAAGATTGACTGAAATTTGATCCATCTGTTAATCCGTGACAGAGGCCTTGGTTTTGACAACGTTAACAAGGGCGGATTAAGGGGTTGGCCCAGGAGGCCCAGGCCCCCCCTTTTGTGCGGAATTTTTGTTCTTTTGTAAACGTGTGTAGGATGGTACGTCGAGCTTTGTTACTTAACTATATTTTCTTAAATAAACATTGTTAATACTGAAGAAAATGTAAGGAATGTTGTTCGAATCATCCGCCCTTATAAACTAGCTTCAAACCGACAAACCGAAAGATGCTACTGATACCTGCCAACTTGCAGAAGCTTTAAAAGTCTTCTCAAAAGAAAGTTATTCGTCACTATTTGCCCGATCTTCCATTGCCAAACAGTGCGTCTCAGGAGCCAGAGCTGTGGAAGCGCTTTTGGTATGGTAATTTTATTTCAAATTTAATAAGAATACAGCACAGTTTCACTAAGTTTTTTTGTACTCATGTACATGGTTCTGAAACGTTTTTTCAGTGATACGCGAAGGAAACCATTTCTGTCTTGCGATATATGTAAGTGGTTGCTTTCATTTTCAGGATGAATAGAACCAAAAAACCCTCCATTTTACAAGAAGAATTGGCAGCCTGCAACAGAGGCCTATACCCCAAAATCCACACAATTTTGCGACTCCTAAAGATCGCCCCTGTGAAAAGTGCAACTGTGGAACGTAGCAACTCATCACTGCGCTTTGTAAAGAGTTGTTTTAGAGGCACCGTGAGAGAAGACCGCCTTAACGCACTGTCGCTGCTCTTTATTCACAAGGACGTTGCTCTGGATTATGATGCAATTATTGACGACTATGCCAAGCGCAACAAGTGAAGGATGACATTTATCAATCCCCTGCAATGAATTTTCTTATGATTGGTCTTAGAGTCATGTCCTTGGGATGCACTTCCTTTGTTGAATTTTTTTTTATTATAAATCTTCTTTGAATCTGTGTTCGAAGCCTACATTTTTGGTCGCAAATGACCAAAGCTCCCAAAACGCATGCAGTAAATATCCTTCTCAAACAAACTGGATTTGACAATTTTTCAGGGAGACAATGTTGCTGCCTTTGCTGGGAGGTTATGCTCCCGCCTCAATCGCGTCGGCCCCCTCTAGCATAATAAAATTTAAGCGTCCAGAATGCACTAGATTGCATCTCAGAGAACTTCAATCTCAAAAATTTTCGCGGAGGACCATGCGCCCGAAACTCCCTAGAAAAGTGCACCGCCGGCTCGCAGTCCTGATGGGCGCTATCGCGCTCATATTACCACTGTATACAGTTACTATATCTCTAGGTCCCCTCTATCACAAAATCCTCCGTCCGGCACTGATTGACGTTAATGTGTTACATACCAAAAAACCTTGAGAAATCACAGAAAGCACAATGTAATTCCTGCTAAAAAGTGTTGTTCTTACAAGCAGCATTTTTGTATTTTATTTTCAACAGATTGTTAACTAATTTCATGATCTAACCTGAGAAAAGGCCACTTTTTCACACTTGGTTTCTGTTGTCCATATTCCACCAAGAACAACGCTTCCATGCGTTATGTCTGTGCTTGGCTGGTCTTCGAACGCTAACCAGTTGATCATTCCCGTGTCGTTTTTATTACCCGCCGTGCGCGAACATAGTTTAAATCCAACTGTATTGATGGATTCTGCCCACAGAGCCGAGGGTGTGTGAGCCATCGACGAGTTTTCTTCATGACTCAGTGACACAAAAACATGGACCTAAAATGCATCGGTTAGAAATACGTATAAGTAAAAACAGATAAAGCGCACCAGTGCCGTTGATATGTCACTGTCAGTCCATCGAAGTACTTGTTCCCTTTTAGCTGTTCTCCTTGTTTTAGTTGTTTTGATCGACCGTTGTAACGTTTTTTTTTGTCTCCTTTACAATATTATTTTCAAGAAAACACCGAGTGCTTGTATGGTCTAACTTGAAGTCATTTCAACTGAGAAATCGATATTCTGAGATTAACTCCAACACGAAACTGTCTGGTAACATTACCCAAAAGACGGCGAATTATTATCATTATTTTTTTCGATTCTTGACTCTGAAGGGTTAGAATACATATTAGTTCCTTGACTCATTTAAAATTCCCCGGGAAAGCCTTGTTCATGAATTTAACGATGACGTAAAGTTTAAGCTCATAGCTTAGTCCATTTTAAAAGTGCGGAAGCACATCTTGGTATGCAGTCATAAATACTTACAGTCCGTGATCCAACGAATTCCCGATGAAAAGTCACATCTGTGCAACGTGGCAATGTACAGTGAGTCGGCGCTTCACATTTGCTGCTGTTGCGACTCCATTCCTGCCTTGTCTTCGAAACGTCTACTTTTCCAATCTGATAGGAGAATCCTTATAAGATAGAAACGCAATTTCATAATATTCTAAACCCTTAAAGTAAAGGCAAGGTGCTTAAAATAAGAAAGGAAGTCGAAGAAAAGTGCCGAAGAGTAAGTCCTTAGCTACGACAACAGGACCGACACGGCTAAGTGCAGGTCCTCAAGCACCATATTCTTGTGTCACACGAACACTTGAAACTTTATCGCTACGGCGTGGGGGGCATTTGGCCCACAACTGCGAGACTAAGAGTGAGTAGTTTGAGTGTAATGGCAGTCACCATCTGGCTGTTTGTAATGATAGTATGAGGCATCAGTGGTAGTCGGAGTCTTGTATCTGGAACGGTTTTCGAGTTCGTTGTATTTGAAGAGGGGTCGGGGAAAAAAATCTGTCACACCCGGCTACGCTTCGGATATTTTTAATGCTTTCCTCGGTAATGTACGATGAAACATTGCGTACCGTGTTTGATATACGAAGAAGCGAAAATATGTTATCGTGTTTGAGGCGTAAAAAGAGACGAGGAAGGCCCGAGGAACAAATCTTCCATGCAGGATCCGAGGTTCCGGTGTCACATTGCGAAGGGGGAAGGGGTTGGTGGCTGAGGGAAGAGGAGGTTGAGAATAAGTGACAGAGCAGGTTATACGGGAAAATTAAATTCTCACTTGGTTTGTGTGTTCCGTTGCCGCAGTAACGAAAGTTACAAATTGGGGGCTTCCCAACGTGGTAGACGTAGAATCCTCCACAGTTACGGACTGTGATGCTTGTTGAGTATTCACAACAATTGTTTTTGTAACGGAAACAAACTTTGCGTCGGACAGCACCCTCAGCTATTTCAGGATGACTGCCATTCAGCCAACCCGGCAGTTCTGCGCCACATCGAAACTCCGGAACACATGAATCCGCCATTTGCTTTCCAGCATCTCCCCCAAAGCGATACCATCCGTTAAGATGATCATCACAAAGGAAGTCAATACTGATGTTGTAAAAGGAGTTTGCTCTGCCGGACTCGTTAAGGACCGTGTAATGGTAACACTCTAAAATAGAACAGAACATTGTTGGTTTCCGAAATTAAACCGGCGTTTATAGACGGCGCACGTCAACCGGGATTGAGGCGCAGTCTTATGAAGCCACCAAATGTGTCTCAGTGCTAAATGCGTTTACGTGTATAGAGACGATTTGCCCAAACATTTGGGCAAAATCGCTTCCCAAGAATGCAATACGTCCACTTCTGGTCAGACATCGCTCCCTCGGTCAACCACATGTACTGCGGGTTGAACGCGATTAGGTTTTCTGAGGGGGAGGCTATTGTTGGAAACTATACGTGGGACCACTAACCCGTCTGAGTGCGTAACTGGTTGTCAGGTATGTTGGCTCATAGGGGAGGGGTAGGTGGACAGTTTCCCAGAAACGTATATTATTCCATTTTTAGTTCCATCATACTCATTCGAAGTCATAACAGGGACCTAAAGATCGGACCTAGGTGACGACAAAGCGAACGGCAAAAAAGCAATAGGTTTAATTAGCAAAAAAACAACTCTGCACGTGCATAACACGGTTTTTTCAATTTTTTTTTTTGCCCTCATTGCACCACTACGACGCAAACACGCCTAATTTTACGTTTTATGGATCACGCAACAAGCGACAACGAAATTTTCTTTCTCTTTCTAAATCTGGATATGGGTCTCAGGAATTCAACTCCAAACGTCAGGGGTATAGGCAGCCCATTATAAAGACCTGTTGGCCCGGGCCTACAAACTTTTGGTTTGATCACCCTACCGCTTTTAATAAATCATGCGTTGTGGGAGTGAGGTAAAAAGCTTAAGAGCTCAAAGTGTTGGTGAGGTCAGCATACTAGTCATGCGTGCAGTTTTCAGGATATGTGGAAATCAAGGTCAGCCAAGCGTGCAACTAGTCGAAAAGCTGGCTGCGTCCCTGGAAGTGTTTGACTACATTTTAAAATTGTAAGTGAGTATGAATAATCGCGATGCTATAGCTAATGTATATTTTTCAGTAATACCTTTTGCTGATATTTTAGCACCTTCATTAACTTCCTTGATGTTCGCGTCTTTCCAGTAGCTCTCGTACATGTTCTTTTCTTCATGGTAGTTTGACAGTGAACTCTGTAAAGTAAAATGAATCCGGTATCTGTTACTAACTTTTCAGATCTCTTACGATGCGGGAGTAAGAATTGTAAAGAAAAACAAAGGGGGGTTAGGAATTAAGGACTATGCGAATCCTGATCTAATGTTAAATTCCCCCTTCGATTCGCTCCCATATATGCTACAAGGCAAATTGGAGATGAATCAAAAACCACTTGAGGCTTCATTTCGTCCACCCCATCAATTTAACAATTTATTCTTTAAACAGTTTCAATTTACAGTTAATAAAAGATGGACTTACTCCTTGAACGCCGCTTATTATGCGAGGAAGAATGACAATCGGCAAAGCAGCGATAAAGAACAGTAGCATGTAACGCAGCATCTTGGTGATAAAAAAATCCAAAAATTCTGCGCTCCGATTCTCACTGCAGTGAGAATTTGTCGCAATGGCAAAAAAGCAGAGAGAACCACAGCCTTTATGCAAGTTGAACCTGAAGTGATATTGCTGGGAATAATACCATTTCCGGCGGGTGCACTAATTCTGTACTCGTAATTCCGTACAATATAATATTGATCAGATAAGCACTTCCAGCACTTTTAGATTGTAATTCAAGTGCCTCAACATCCCATCAACCATTAAAATTCCAGCACGATCCTACTTACAACTTATGATCATTTAAATCGCTGTTTTACTGTCTTTGGAAAAGAATTTTAGTGTGGCTAAGCAGCGCAATCTATTGTAGCTTAATCTGCAGATAAATTCAAGAAAGTCGATTTTACTGGCAGTATAAATGGTTGTCTGTAAAAGCAGGAGTGCCGGGTGTGGAAAACGAGGAGTGCGGTAAGGCCTACGTGGCAGGCGTTCGAAATGGAAGGGGAGGGAAATTTGGGCGCGAGATCACGCGCGAGGGAGGAGGTGTAGGGAATTTGGGCGCGAGACGGCGCGCGAGGGAGAAGGGATGGGCGGGGCAGGCTAAGTGCGGTGTAGTGTAGAGTGTGGAAAACGAAGAGTGTGGATTGTGGAAAACGAGGAGTGCGGTGTAGCCTGCGTGGCAGACGTTCGACAGGGAAGGGGAATGGAATTCGGGCGCGAGACCGCACGCGAGGAAGGAGGAGTAGAGAATTTGGGCGCGAGACCGCGCGCGAGGGAGAAGGGAGGAGGGGCAGGCTAAAGGCGGTGTAGTGTAGAGTGAATTGTGGAAAACGAGGAGTGTGGAATGTGGAAAACATAGACTGCAAAGTGCTTTGAATACGGGAGTGTAGAAAATGAGGAGTGTACAAGACACAAAGTGTAGACATTGCGGAGTTTGTCATTTAGTGGGAAGAGTGATAAATGATGCTGTGTGTCGTTTATTGATGGAGAAGAAGAGACGAGAGGACCTCCACCACAAACAACCAGTTGAAATTTTCAAGGTTTATCTCACTTACTCGCAAGAGGGCTCTACTTATATTCTTCTTGATGTTCTTCTCTTTCTCTTCCAAGCTACATTTCTCCTCTCTCTCTCTAATTCTTCCTTCGACACTCCAAATCTTTCTTCTTAGTTGCTAACTCCTTCTTGCTAACCCCGTTTTTCCATTTAAAGGAAAAGCCACTCTCAAAAAGCACTCTGATAATATTTATCTTTCCAAATGAAACTCTTAATATTAGCAAATTGGTTATTCATCATGTATCATTTTTAGAGGAAAACACTTAGAATGCATTAGAACCTTCAAAGCCTATTGATCGGATATTTATCCAACGTTCATTACCTTTCAATATATCTTTAAAATTGGGGAGGTTAGTCCTGTGACAAGAGATAAAAACGGCACAATTAAACTCAAGGAAACTCTTTTTCTACAATGAAACTCTTTGTAAGTTTACGAATTCACATTCTTCACATAAATGCCGGAATCAGTGCTGTTAGCTCAAGAAGTCTTTATTCGTCAGTATTTTCATGATACAGTCCGGCAATGACACAATTTTAAACTTAATTCTCTTCAGCGACACTGTCTTTTTACCCAGGGGGGGGGGGGGGGGGGGGGAGTAAACTGAACAACTGGTTGAAAATTTATTATAGTGAGGGAAAATGAAAATCAACACTCAAAAATCAACCTCATCCGTTGCTCAAAATTATGAAACTGGCAAATTCAAACTTTACTCGCAACTCAATTTAATAGCAAAGAAAGTGTCGACCTCTGTAGTTTCTGGAAAGTAGCGACTCTAGAAAAAGGAGGGGTTTGGGGAGCTTAGTCTATAGTATAAGGTCACAAAAATCTCCTGAGCTTGGTTTGCTATGGGCTAAGAGGGTCCCAGCGGCACATCCGCACAAATCTAGTTTAACCCCCCCCGGCTTAATATGCGCCTGGCGGCAATGTGAAGCCTTGTCTATTACTCTAGGGAAATTCGCAATTTCAGGGGAATTTCATACACCAATTCTATGGTGCGAGTGGTTCCCTTGTAAAAATAGAAAAGTTTAACAGAGTTTTACTTACACAAAAATACGAACTCCTCTCGACTTCACGTTTTTCGCACTCCGCATTAACCTCATTAATTCCAGAGAACCGCGGTACAAGAAATTAAACGATGACGCCTGTTCTAAGTTGGTCAATTTCAATATTACTGTGAACTTGATTGTATCTTATCAAGGCACTTCCTGAGCGAGAAAAATTTAATGCACTGTGAAGTGCAACAATTAGCTGGTAAGAGGATTTCATACCACGAAACTAATATGGCTATGGCACGAGAAACTTTTCACCTCAATGCCTGTGGTTAATGTGCAATTCCACTTAACTTTCAATAGTTACCCTCAAAAACATATATTGTACAGTAGCTGAACAATGTGTTTACTTATTACTTTCTTTGTCATCTTTGTATAATAGCTAGCACTATGACACAATTAAGAGAAGTCAAAAGCGTTAAAAAAAATTACACCTAAAAGGAAAAAAAGCCTGATTAAGAGAACAGATTGTGCAGGTCCTTGTGGCTATATTACGTGGACGTGAGACGGTAGGGCTCTGTAGCGATCCGGTAACACTTAAGATTAAACATTTTTTTATAAAAAGGTTGAACTTTAACTGACCCTTTTCTAGTATCCATGGTCAGTAGAATCACGACTAGTGGTTGAATATGGGAAGCAACAACGTCACTAGATGAAGTTCCTTTTGGCTGTAATTTTCGCAACTCTTTTAACTTTCCTGACGTATCCTGCGTAGCATGGAAGGCGCCGGATTTTTTAGGGCGAAGGTTGCCTGGTCTCTGTACAGCGTTTTCGCAGGCCTTCTCGGTCAATTCACTTTGGTGACGCCATGGCGAACGGGCAGGAAACACTCACTCACTTCTTTGCTCTGAACACGTGACCCGAAACGCATTAGCCGCGCAGAATAATGCAGCCTTGGGACAAATGATAATAATTATAAAAGTAAATTATAATAATTATAAAAATCTCCCAGAATCCTTTGAGGCAATTTTTTAAAAAGCTATATAACTTTGACAATTTTATACGTAGAAGACTGTCAGACCACAGCAAGATAACATTTGCCATAAAATATCTTCCCGTATCACATCTAAGGTAATGACGCCATCAGTCTCGGGACTATTTCCTAATTAGGTTTTTTTGTTACAGTGACAAGATTTCATTAAAGAGTTAAAAACAAATACAGTCAACTCTCTCTAAGACGGACATCTTTGGGACCGGCACTAAGTGTCCGTCTTAGAGAGGTGTCCGTCTTATAGAGAGTCAAATAAAAGGAGTGAAGAAAGGCAGGGACCAACTCTAAGTGTCCTTTTTACAGAGGTGTCCGTCTTATAGAGGTGTCCGTTAAGAGAGAGTCGACTGTAGCACATTTGAAGTTTTAGTTGTGTGGCCATTTAAAAATGACCCGTTGACGTCCGGCATTTAAAATTTAAGAGGGTAATATATGAGCATGAGCGAAAAAGTCGGGAGACTAGGCCGAGGGCACGGCAGAGAAAATTTGCGGGAAAGTAATTTTCTACCTGACAATTTTTTTCATGACCAAAAGAGGGACGTGACGTCATCAGTCACGTGATCAAAGCGTTTTGAATGTTTTAGTTCGTTTTTAAAGTACCTTTTCGTCATAAATTGGCAAGTTTTTGCTGTATTTCTCAACAATTCTTAGCGTAGTTTTAAAGCGTCGCGGAACTCCCTTTTATTCAGGTTGAAGCACAAATCTTGGATAGGAAGCACTGTGAGCCACGCCGATGAACCTTTTTCCATCGCCAGATCTAATGCTGGCTTAGTCTTCTGTGGTGCCATCTCCTTGATACGTTTTCTATTCCTTTTCTTGGAGTTCCTGTGATCTTTTACTTCACACTGCCTGCTGTGCTGATTTTAGGGAAAGTTCATTTAATATGACAAGGGGGTGGGATGAAGATATTGAAACTCGAAGGCTGAAATTTTAGCAGCCCCCCTCGCTAGCGGTTCAATTTTTTAGGAGCCCCCTCTTTGGTAGTCGAAAAAATTTCAGAGCCTCCCCCCCCCCCTCCTCCTTCAATTCCTTTGGTCCCCTGAAAAAAGATCGCTTGACTGTATTAAATATATTTACCGTTATTGTCTTCAATGGTTTATACTATGACAAACTTGAGATACAATTGTGATACAATTTTCTAAAGCATTTTTTGGGATGAACAAGAGTGTAATAATTACTGAGACTACATTTGTTATATCTGTAAACCACGTGATATAGCTGAGTTGCACAGGTCATTAAATTGTTGAGTTGAAAACCATCCGATCTGTATGATGATGTCATGTGTTGGTTTTGAAGTATACAAATTTTCGGAGCCCCCCTCCTAGCGCAACAATTTTTTCAGAGCCCCCCCTTCGGGTGTCTAAAAATTTTCGGAGCCCCCCCTCAATATCTTCATCCCCCCTTGTCATGTTAAATGAACTTTCCCTTATGACGGAATCTTCGGTATCTGGAGTGACTGAGATACGATTTGTTGAACGAAGGGTGTTGTTACTTTGACTAAAGAAGCTTACTCGAGGCTTGCTTCAAGGCCCAGACCACCCAGGCGGACTGCAAGCGCTAATAATGATAATAATAATAATAATAATGAATAAAAAAGGTAATAATAATTATAGAATGAATAAAGATTTTTAGTAAAATCCACCTAGTGGTCTATTATCAATGCTGCGTTCTGGTTGGTTGAGCTACTACTAGGCTATATGTTCTATGTTATAACAAAAACCTGCACTGGGCATCAGGGGGGGAAGTTTGGGCCAAAAATTGCATTTTTTGGGACAATTTTCTCCTTAAAAATTGGAGTTTTGTTAGGTAAATATTTCAGAAAGCAGACTAACAGTTAAAAACCTGTTTATATGATAGCAAAATATCATCCTTCCTCTCAATAAAAATGTTATCAATTTTTCTCTGGGCCCCCCCCTGACGGCCCCTGTTCATTGTCATTTACAAGGGGGGGGAACGTTTTTTGACAAGGCTTAAAAATAGACATTTTTGAACCCCTTTTTTTCTTACTAGCACTCCGATTTAGATCAAAATTGAAACAGGATGTAAATATTTCACCCTTTGTGAACCATTTTATGCTTAGAAATCCGTGGGCACTCAATACATTTTTGCATGCCAATCAAATGAAAATGTATAGCTAAGACAAAATAATAAATTTTCGCAACTTTTGTTCGCCGCTATCTTTCTTTTTAATCGTGTCTTTGGGCCAATGTTAAGCAAGAACGTTGGATGGTTCTTATAGATTGCATTCCTTTACGTTTTACAGTCAGTTATTGAGCATATTCACGATTTTTGGTTTACAAACCAGGCATCGTGTGGTTGGTTGCTAATTTATGTAAATTACTACCGGCGATATAACTTGGCAGGAAGATCTAATTATATTCGCCTTTTTTCTAGCAAAGTAAATCGCTTCGATGGGATTATTAATAGATAACTGACACGTTACAGACCATTAACAAGGCAAACAAGGCTAAGTGCGGTGTAGTGTAGAGTGTGGAAAACGAAGAGTGTGGATTGTGGAAAACGAGGAGTGGGAAGCGAAGGGGAATGGAATTTGTTCGCGAGACCGCACGCGGGGAAGGAGGAGTAGGGAATTTGGGCGCGAGACCGCGCGAGGGAGAAGGGAGGAGGGGCAGGCTAAGTGCGGTGTAGTGTAGAGTGAATTGTGGATAGCGAGGAGTGTGGAATGTGGAAAACATAGACTGCAAAGTGTTTTGAATACGGGAGTGTGGAAAATGAGGAGTGTCAAGACACAAAGTGTAGACATTGCGGAGTTTGTCATTTAGTGGGAAGAGTGATAAATGATGCTGCCTGTCGTTTATTGATGGAGAAGGAGAGACCAGAGGAACTCCACCACAATCAACCAGTTGAACTTTTCAAGGTTTATCTTACTTACTCGCAATAGGGATCTACATATGTTCTTCTTGATGTTATTCTCTTTCTCTTCCAAGCTACATTTCTCCTCTCTCTCTAATTCTTCCTTCGACACTCGAAATCTTTCTTCGCAGTTGCTAACTCCTTCTTGCTAACTCCGTTTTTCCATTTAAAGGATAAGCCACTCTCAAAAAGCACACTGATAATATTTATCTTTCCAAATGAAACTCTGAATATTAGCAAATTGGTTATTCATCATGTATCATTTTTAAAGGAAAACACTTAGAATGCTCTAGAACCTTAAAAGCCTATTGATCGGATATTTATCGAACGTTCATTAACTTTCAATATACCTTTAAAATCGGGGAGGTTAGTCCTGTGACAAGAGATAAAAACGGCACAATTAAACTCAAGGAAACTCTTTTTCTACAATGAAACTCTTTGTAAGTTTACGAATTCACATTCTTCACATAAATGCCGGAATCAGTGCTGTTAGCTCAAGAAGTCTTTATTCGTCGGTATTTTCATGATGCAATCAGGGGCGGGGGGAAGTAAACTGAACAACTGGTTGAAAATTTATTATAGTGAGGGAAAATGAAAATCAACACTCAAAAATCAACCTCGTCCGTTGCTCAAAATTATGAAACTGGCAAATTCAAACTTTACTCGCAACTCAATTTAATAGCAAAGAAAGTGTCGACCTCTGTAGTTTCTGGAAAGTAGCAACTCTAGAAAAAGGAGGGGTTTGGGGAGCTTAGTCTATAGTAGAAGGTCACAAAAATCACCTGAGCTTGGTTTGCTATGGGCTAAGAGGGTCCCAGCGGCACATCCGCACAAATCTAGTTTAACCGCCCCCCCGGCTTAATATGCGCCCGGCGGCAATGTGAAGCCTTGTCTATTACTCTAGGGAAATGCGCAATTTCAGGGGAATTTCATACACCAATTTTTTGGTGCGAGTGGTTCCCTTGTAAAAATAGAAAAGTTTAACAGACTTTTACCTACACAAAAATACGAACTCCTCATTTTCTCCACTTCACGTTTTTCGCACTCCGCATTAACCTCATTAATTCCAGACAACCACGGTACAAGAAATTAAACGATGACGCCTGTTCTAAGTTGGTCAATTTCAATATCACTGTGAACTTGATTGTATCTTATCAAGGCACTTCCTGAGCGAGAAAAATTTAATGCACTGTGAAGTGCAACAATTAGCTGGTAAGAGGATTTCATACCACGAAACTAATATGGCTATGGCACGAGAAACTTTTCACCTCAATGCCTGTGGTTAATGTGCAATTCCACTTAACTTTCAAGACTTAGATAGTTACCCTCAAAAACATATATTGTACAGTAGCTGAACAATGTGTTTACTTATTACTTTCTTTGTCATCTTTGTATAATAGCTGGCACTATGACACAATTAAGGGGAGTCAAAAGCGTTAAAAAAATCACATCTAAAAGGAAAAAAAGCCTGATTAAGAGAACAGATTGTGCAGGTCCTTGTGGCTATATTACGTGGACGTGAGACGGTCGGGCTCTGTAGCGATCCGGTAACACTTAAGATTAAACATTTTTTTATAAAAAGGTGGAACTTTAACTGACCCTTTTCTAGTATCCATGGTCAGTAGAATCACGAATAGTGGTTAAATATAGGAAGTAACAACGTGACTAGATGAAGTTCCTTTTAACTATAATTTTCGCAACTCTTTTGACTTTCCTGACGTATCCTGCGTAGCATGGAAGGCGTCGGATTTTTAGGGCGAAGGTTTCCCTGTACAGCGTTTTCCCAGGCCGTCTCGGTCAATTCACTTTGGTGACGCCATGGCGAACGGGCAAGAAACACTCACGCACTTCTTCGCTCTGACCACGTGACCCGAAACGCATTAGCCGCGCAGAATAATGGGGCCTTGGGACAAATAATAATAATTATCATAAAAGTAAATTATAATAATTATAAAAAAATCTCCCAGAATCCTTTGAGGCAATTTTTTAAAAAGCTATATAACTTTGACAATTTTATACGTAGAAGACTGTCAGACCACAACAAGAAAACATTTGCCATAAAATATCTTCCCGTATCACATCCAAGGTAATGACGCCATCAGTCATGTGACTGTTTCCGAATTAGGGTTTTTTGTTGCTGTTAAAAGATTTAAAAACAAATAGTACATTTGAGGTTTTAGTTGTGTGGGGCATTTAAAAATAACCAGTTGACGTCCGGCATTTAAAATTTAAGACGGTAATATATGAACATGAGCGAAAAAGTCGGGAGACTAGCCCGAGGGCAAGGCAGAGAAAATTTTTGGGAAAGTAATTTTCTTCCTGATAATTTTTTTTATGACCAAAAGAGGGACATGACGTCATCAGTCACGTGATCAAAGCGTTTTGAATGTTTTAGTTCGTTTTTAAAGTACCTTTTCGTCATAAATTGGCAAGTTTTTGCTGTATTTCTCAACAATTCTTAGCGTAGTTTTAAAGCGTCGCAGA